GTTTTTGTTTGTTACTTTGCATTGAAGTCTGCCTAATCATTCTATTTTCTTGTTTTTAAATGTTATGTGATTCAAACTAGGAAGTATGAATTTATCTGTATTTTTACCTCAGTGTTACGCTAATAAGATCTATTTATTTTGATACTTATATATTTTTTTCTGAGTGAAATTTTAAAACTCCCATTAAAATGTGATACAATATAATAAGCATAGTCTGTTTTCATAGGAACTCAAATTCTGTCATTTGCCTTATGTCAATTCATCCTTAAGAAATTAATATAAACTATTTCATCCTATTTTCTTACCTACAGAATGAGTTAATCACATTTTTATAAATTAGTATTGATGTAATCATTTATATGTATATATGGAGAAATATAATGTGTGTTGGAACACAATAAAGTCTCACTTGTCCACATTCTAATTCTTTAATTTCTTAATGAGTCATTAGAACTGAACATATGTTTTATACAAAACTCACCATTTGCTGGCTTTCTGGGACATAAAAATACAAAGAAATGGAGTGAAAACATTCCACTCTGACTGTGGTTCTGGGAGGTAGTTCAGCAGCTGAATATAGTGGGAAGGGCCTGAACTATGAACTAAGAAATTCTTGATGTGACCATGACCACAAGCTCACCTTTTCATTGGTCATGTGACATGGACAAATTATTATCTTCCTTTGAGTATGACTTTTCATTGAGAAAATGAAAAAAAATGCTACTTAACTGACAAGTGTTTTGTGAGAGCCCGATTAAATGAGTTTACTAAAGTAATTAGCATTATTCCAACATTGGTATGTATTCAAATACATATAAGCAGTTTTATGTTTTGCTGTCAATTTATTACTAGGTCAAGATATTAACAGAAGTCTTTTATGTATATTTATTTGTCAATATTTCAGAGTTTTGTATGGCTTCCTTATCCAACCATATACTGGAAGTGTATTTGTCCAACTCTTCACCAACCCATCATCTTGTTTCCTACTTTAGTTTGCTGTGTCTGAAACTGTATTCTCATTGTATTACCATATTCTCATGAAACCAATACAGTTTTGAATTGACAGGAGAGATGGGCGGAAGATAAGTTACTCAAGTCAAGTGCTTAAGGTCACCTATAGCTCCTCTCAACCTCAATCCTACTTAGAACTACTGCCTCAAAAGTTTCAGTGTCTCTGGAATATTTTCTTTATTTCCATATCCCTGTATCTACCTTGGTTAGGTCATCTTCATTTTCTGTCAGACTACAAATGGTATTCTGTTAATTGTATTTCTTGCATCTGGCTCTTGCAATCATTTTTTATCCCCCTCCACAAAATCTAATCACATTATTTCCTTGGTGATATCTCTAAATATCTCATTCTTCACAGAATAGTATCAAATAACATTGTTCTGTTTGAAATGACGTTGATATTTAGGATTCAAATAATTTTTGAAAAAATCTCATATTTTATATCACATTTATGTAATTTTTAAGTCACCTTTTATGTAATTTTGCTTTATCATCTAACAAAATATTCATTGTATCCAAAGTGCTCATAATATAGATGCTTGAATTTCTTAAGCATACCGTGGGATATCCTACTTCTCTACAAATGCACATGTTATTGTCTGCTAGAGATGCCTTTCCATATGAATCCTTTCTTCAAAGACTAAACTTTGGCCGGAAATGAATAAACATTTCTAAAGTCCTTATTATTTCATAAACTGAGTTAAGTGACATAAGGACATTGCAATATTTGAATTTCCTAAAAATTCTATCATGTTGATAAAAATTCACATTTTTAGAAATGAGGAAATTGGAGCAGAATTCAAACTCTCATTGAGTGATTTCAAATACTATATTTTAAAATGATGGTGCTCTAAGTTAATTTACACACATATATACACACACGAAACATACTTACCTTGATTTGTACATGGTAAAACTGATACTCAAGGAGTATGAATGGCACATTTAAGGTTTCATAGTTTAATTCAGAAAAGCCTGAATCTAATTTAAATTTGTCAAACATTAAAGCCTATGTTATTTCCATTATACCACCCAGTTTCTTTAAATGTCATCTCCTTCAATGAATCATTTCCTGATGCTCCCATGGGATAGATGACAATGCCAATTTTTCTTCTGCTATAATGCCTCATCCAGTGGAATAAAAATAAGAAGAGTTGACATTTACCTAGTAGTTACTTAACATATACACACAGATATATGTGCTTTAGTAGTTTTCTCGTTTATTTATCGTAATATGTACGCTACTAATTAAATTCATCTTTCTAGGTCAGAGTATTTACCTTTTTTTGTAACTAACATTTAAACATCTTGGAGGCAGTCACTGACCTACACATATTTGTTTTTCAAGCTAGCAGAATTTCTTGCATGCCATAATAAATATATTTTAAATAAATGAATGGGTTACAACTAGTGGGTAACTATGATATTTGTAGGACATAGAAAAGCCGGGAGAATGTCTTCTATGTAACAGAGCAATGTAATCGCCTCCAAAGACATTCATCCCCTTGAGCTCAGAGTTGTAAGAATTTTGAACTGAATTCTTTTCCTAACTTCTCATGACATTATTTATTTTCTTATATTGGAGACAAACCATGCATTTTTTCCAGATGATAGTATTCAGACTGTCTAATTATATACCTTAATAAGTGTCACAGATTGAACAAACTAAATGTGCTTTGATTTATTCCAAAATTTTGATTCATTTTATTGACCCTATTCTCAATATAGAGTTCACTCTGTATTTTTCATGCATTATAAATTTGAAAGATTGGAAAGTCTCTTAATCTTCAAAGAGATCAAATTTGTTCCAAGTGGCCATCTCTGTTTTTCATCCTTTTGAAAAGATCGGTTAAGTGTTTTTTTTCAGTCATAGCCAGGCTCTGGAAAGTGGAAATTGGCTCTTTATTATATCCTTGGGCTTTGTCTTATCTGGAAGTACTATTTTCCCTAGTCATTTTTATTCAAGTCTTACTTACCACCTCCCTTTTCTGATTTCTTTGGGATTTACCATATTTATTGTTTTTCCATGTGTCCTTTTCCTGTTTTGCTGGTTCTTAATGTTTGTTTGATCTAGGTTGATTGTGTGTATATGTGTGTGTGTGTTCATCTCTCGCCCCATTTTTAGACAATTAGCAGATGCAAATTTTCAGTCTTCATTTTAGACATGGATTATGGATATTTTTAAGTGAGAAAAAATGCTGGTTTCTCTCCCATTCACTGCAGAGAGACAGACTAAATTAATGCTCTTCATTCACCTGATTAAGCACTATTAGACATGTCATTTCGGGGATGTAAGCTGTATCAGTAATTTTAGATTTTTTATCCTTATGATCAATACATTTTAAAATTTTCAAATTTCTACTATTTTAAATGAGGTATTTTCTTTGTATAAAGTTACTTCTATTGATGTTCAATAAAACTTCCATAATTTAAAAATATATGAAATCTTTTAATATCCTATTTAAGTAATAGAGAATACTACTCAGAGAAAGAGATTAATATTATAAAATAAGGTTTATTATGTTTACTTGAAATTTATTAGGTTATTGGCAATAGGTAAATATAAAAATAGAACCTACCCAGGGCAGAACACAACAAGAAGAAAATGCAATGTATTAAAGACCAAGTAATTGGAGGATTAATTTCTCAGACTGCCATTCAGAATATTGTGACCTAATCTTTATCAGTCAAGCAGGGATTGTACTTTAAATGAGTAAAGCATATTTCCCTGGTTGTCTCTTGAGAAAGGCATGTTTCTTTGGTTGTCTCTGATGTCTTCAGCACCTCTACAACCCTCCAGGGCTGGTATCAACTGTAGATTTATTGACTGAAAACCAATATGATCCTACCTTCTCCAAAGGGGAATTGCTCCCTACAATATAAATGTCAGATGGGAAACCTCAGCTATCTTCCAATGGTTCTTCCTTTTTCTAACCTCACAACATGAGCTTGAAGATTTTACTCTGTTTTTACACGTGGTCAAATGTGATGACATAGAAATATGAATTTGTGTGTGTGTGTGTGTATGTGTGTGTGCATGTGTGCACACATGTGAATAAAGCTTTAGAAAGACAAGACTTTAGGCAACTCAGTGACCTTAATAACAATATGTTCAGAACTTTGTGGGTGGAAAAATAAGACTTAATTAGTTCTATTTCCAAAACACTGAGGAGTAGACAAGCTTCCTCATACATATATGCATTTTCTGTTTCGTGTGGGTTTCCCACTATAGTATTTTTATAAATACTGCTATGACATTCTGAAGAGCTACCTGTGTTTTCTCCCAGTGAATATTATATCAAAAATGCGCATTTTGTCTTAAAGCATCTTTTTGGGGGATACTAAAAACAGCGGTGTGTTTTTACAAGCTTAAGTTCTAGAGAAAGAAATCTCAGAACTACTGACACACCCACAGTAAAGGAGCTTATGATCCAAAATAGTTAATATTTGTGGTCACATATACTCAGTATGATAATTTTTAGAAAAACTCTTCCTACATTATTAAGATAAAAAATAATTATTTTAAAATTAATTTATTTTAAGAAAGGTTATTTGAATGAGTCCAGAATTTTTTTTAAAAAAATCTATTTTTGTAGCCATATATTACTCTCCCTTTTATTTATTTTTTCTTAATTTTCATTGAGCCTTGCTAATGCTCCAGAAGTGGTAGGAAAAAACAACAACTCTGTATATCTTAACGAAAATGTAGAATATCCAGTCTAAACCTGCAGTAAGTATGTCTTTTGAATAGAAAAAAAAAAAAACAGATGCTGTAGCATTTCTGCCCAAGAGAGAGTCCAGTTTGAACATTCTGCAGTATGCAAATGTCATCTTGTCTATGTGAATGTTTTACCCGAGTGGCTGCTGCAGGGTTGGAGTCTTCTGCTAGTGATTTAGGTTGTAATTTTATTTGTGGAAATAAACCAATCACGGAGCTCTGATTGTCTTAGCGATGAGGTGATCAATAGCCCATTACTGGATAGAACAGCGGCTACAGGAAGTGCATTGAAGATTTTAATGCATGAATTATGCATGCCGTGCTCATTCTGTGCTCATTCTTTAGTCTCCAAGCAGAATGACAGGGTTTGTGAAGTCGCCTCAGATAGTTTCTTGCATTAAGTGACTGCAGTAAAATGCTTAATATTTTCAGGCATAGAAGCAGCATTGACTCGGGCCAGCCGAATTTGGAAGATGTAAACCCCCCAGCTCACAGCACAGAGGCTTTATTTGAAAGTATTGCTATGTAGAGAGCCAGCTTTGCAGTCATCTAACCTGTTCTCCCCAGAAGGTTGGCTGAAGGATGGGAGCGGCTGTGCCTGCCTCTGAGGTCACAGCTTGAAGTCCTTTTAACTTGCCTTCTGCTGCAGGAGAGAGGCGTATTGTGGTGTAACTGTCGCTGCGTTTATTCAAATGGACAATTTGCAATAGATATAATACCCAGAACGGCAGATAATTCAACGTATGAGGTAAGTCCAGGATTTTTCTCTAGTTTAGATAATTGTAAACTAGAATGTGCTGAGTTGGGATGATGGTGATGCCGTGGTAACAGTAAGGTAGACTCAGACCTCAGGATCTTAAAGCAGTGGCAGAGCTATCAATTGTTATGTTAATTGAGAGGTGACTTTATTTTATGTTTGGCTGTATTGGGTGTTTTATTTCGCTTTCAAAGCTTTTCAAGAATGTACCTGAGCCCAGATGTGTGTGTGCCTGCAAACTGGGGAGGGGCAGCCCTGAGAGTGAGCTGAATCAATAAGTGAAAATTCCTTCCTGGTGGAGAAGTTTTAGCAGGGCTGTGGCATTGCTTTGGCTCAGATTATTTCTTTAACATCAGCATTTTCTCATTCTAGATAATGATGATGATAGAAACCAAAAAATGCTCAATCCTTTTCCCACAAGTAGAGGAAAGCACTGAGGTACTCAAACTCAAATACTGTGTTGCATACAAATTGAGCAGATGGAATTAAAACAATTTGGACTAGAGTGTCCTTGAGGGAAGACCTTGTTGTCTGAAACAGAACAGTTTGGCTTTTACCTATAATAGTTGTTATTTTATTTTATTTTTTTCCTCCTGTCAAGGACTTACTCCAAAAGGAATGGATGAATGGCATATTGTGAAATTAAAAAGAGAGAGACAGAGACAGAAAGAGAGAGAGAGAGACAGAGACACAGAGAGATTTGTATTTCTCTTGGTGTTTTAAAAATTAAGCTTATACAATTGCAGGACTCATGAAATAAGAGCCAAGTAAAATTTGCAAAAACCCTACAGACCTGAAAATATACTATACTGCTAAATTGGTCAGAGGTCTCTGTGAATTAAAGCTGGTTGCTTAAATATCATGGCAAATAATAGGTAGACAAATAATGTTCAGCCTAAGAATTCCTGAATATTTCTTTAACATGAGAAAGTAGCTTTAACAAATATTTATAAAGAGACTGTAGACATAGCAAAAAATTTTTAGGGAGGCTTTTCAACAGTAAATTTATATGAATACATTATGAGCAAACACATATATTAATACATATGATATATAATTTATATAGCACAACACATACTATGCATGTCATTCTACTTCATAAATGTTTTTATTGATACTGCTTTAAAAATGTTTTGTTAGATCTATCAATAACCAATAATAAATAAAGCCAGTTATGTCTTATAAAATAAGCAACCTTTTACTTAAAAACAAAGAAGGATATACAGAGCAGTGATAACAAGAGCACAGGAAAACTACTTCTCAAGCATTTCACAGTGCATTTCAATTCTGCCAGGGTGTTACTCCATCAGTTGGGTTTCCTGTCAACTGCCTGTTGGTGTGACAGAGAACTCCAGCCAGGTCTACAGCGTTTAAATCTTCAAAGGTAATCTAGTTCAGGTAGATGAGGAGACTCCCACGTGGAGTTTTTCTTTAGGGAGAGGAAGCAAGAAGTAGCTGCCTTTGTATCTTCCAGGTCTCCTGATGCTGAGTCACTTGCTCAGTTCTGCCCAGATGCCTCCTGGCTGAGGTGGCCCATTATCAGCTGGCAAAAGGGAATCTAAAGGGAAATGAGAAAGAATGGAGGGGGCAGAGGCTTGAGGATATTTATTGCCTTAGTGACACATAAATTCTGAGTAATGAGTGTAATGGCAGTGCTACTTGTTGGATCTGGGTGAGGTGACTTTGGGTGAATGAGGAGATCACAGCAACAGAAATTAATGCAGGAGCATGGGAAATGGTGCACACAGGGTTCCAGGGAGTGCTGCCTGTGAACTTAACCTAAACCTCTCTGTCTTATTTCAGGTGTTAATCCAAGACCTTAATCCATCTCATTTAAAATACGTGAAGGCCAGAAAAAGAATAATTTCTGAATCATGCAACAGAAAAATGGAATGAGATAGCCTCAGTTCCCACTATTCAAGTAGTTATGATTAATTTCTGTAGACACTATCTTGGGAGAGGCTAACATGAAATTAATAATTTGTGAGCATCAACCTTAATATATATGAGGTGAAGCACTAAAATGAGCTGAGTTTCTAATTGTTATAGTAAGGTAGATCATATTAGATACAATTGGAAAAAGAGACTGAAGATGTTCTAAAAAGACATAATAAGAGGAAAGAGGTAAAATCATTAAATATAAGAATTTTCAAACAAAAATGTACATAATTCATGATTGATAGGCATTAATGTTTCTTAAAATCAATGTGTAAGAATTCTAAAAACCTTAGTTTACTGGTAAATGGTTTTATCATTTACTTTAAAATTAATTTAAGAGGTAAGCTAGCACACTGAGAAATCAGTTAACAAGAAAATTTAAAAATGGTAAACAATAAATTTTCTCATAGGGAATAAGTACTGATATAGATAAGGGCTATCAGTACTTATAATAAATCTATGTAGAGAACTACATATGCACAGTTTTATATATGCATTCACACATATTTTTATATGTATATAGTCATTTAACTAGGATTGTGAGAAAATTATAGATAACTTATGGCAGGTTCAGAGACTTCAAGTATTTGTAGTGAGATAATATGTCTGTTTTTCCAAACTTAAAAGACATATACAAATTGCGTCAGAGCTTTTTTTTTTTTTAATTTTTTGCATGATAAGGAAATTTCCCATTTGATTCTTTGCCAAACAGTCCTGATGATTTCTAAGCTTTGTAAAATTCACAGAAAAATTTTCAAGTATGAATTTTTAACAAAAAGTGATAATCAAAAGATTTCATCTTTTCTCTCCCATTGGAGAAAATGATAAAGTTAGTACTACCTAAAATATCTCCTGAGTAGTTTATGAACCTCTTCTAGATAAACTCAGGAGTTGATTCTGAGGGGTGTGTCCCTTCAATATAGGTTCATGCATATTTTACTAATTTATTCCCTCTCAGTTGAAATACACCTTTCACCCCATTTTCTATTGTTTCTCAATAACTTTCCTCTCAAAAAGATAACTCAATGCAATAAGGAAGCATTTGATATGATCCTTTTTTTTGTAGTTTTGCTAGTATTATAGAGCATGAGCCATGCTGCTGAGCTGAGACAGCCATGGAGGCCCTCTTTTCACCCCAGTTCTTGTGATCAGATCAGTAAGATTTCAGATATGTAGCTCAGAATAGCAGGCATGAGTTTAATGAACATATAAGAAAAGGGAAAGGGTACACTCTCTCGGGAGAGAATGGGTCCTCTCAGAGGGAAGAGGGATGACATATTCCTCCTACCCTTTGGTTTTATTGGATATCCAAGTGAAGTTTTCAGAGAATACCATCCAGGTTTACATCTTGACTTTTGACTGACAGCAGGTTGACCTCACGACTATTTAGTCCCCACTGTGCACAATAACTCTCCATCTCTTTCACCCATGTTACAAGTTCTAATTGGAATTTGTTCTTATAGATTTGATTGTTATCACTCTGAGTTCTGGGATCTGGTCTGTGTAAGACTCCCACCAGAGCCCATTCCATCTGGGTAACTGGTCTTCCTTTTTAATGGCATTTTCGGCCTTCATTTCTCACATAGCTAACAGTTTGTTTGCTGAGGAATGTAACATATCCTGTTGACTTAAGCCAGGAGGAGGTGCAGGTAAATTGCTTTTTACAAAAGAAAGCATGTGGGGGTCAGCATAATACCAGTCTTGAAAATCAGGGTAAGGGTCCTAGCTCTCCTGGTATTGAAGATTAAACACCCAAGAATGCCAAGGCAAGAGCAGAAAGTAGATTTTATTTAAGAGAGGGAGAGGGAGAGGGAGAGAGAGAGGAAGAGGGAGAGGGAGAGGGTGAGGAAGAGAGAGAGGGAGAGGGAGAGGAAGAGAGAGAGAGAGAGAGAGAGAGAGAGAGAGAGAGAGAGAGAGAGAGAGAGAGTGAGAGAGAGAGAATGAAAAAGCAAGAGAGACAAATAAACTTCTCCAGAGAGGAAGGGATCCACAGCTTGTGCCTGTGGAAGTGGGGGTGTCTTGCCCCTTTATGAACTTTAGGATTCTTTTCTTCTCATGTTTATGTGACCAAAAGGCAGTAAGAGAGCCATCCAGGGGATGATTGCTTGTGTTGGAAAGTGTAGTCCTTCCCCTCCCCTGGAGGCTGTTAGCAACTGGTTGATGGGGACTGGCTATCTACTAATTTCCTTTTCTTTGATAATCAGCTACCTATCCTTTGCCCAGGTCTTAGCACAGTGGGCCCAGTTTATAGAATAACTCCCTTAACCTTATGTTCCCACTCTCCTATCACTAGGTCTTCTGATTCTTTAGATGGAAAAGAATGATAAGCCTGTGCTTACTCTGGGAAAGTATAAGGCAAAAACAAAGGGAAAAGTAGGTGCAATATGAAAGAGTCATTCAAAATATTTGGTAACAGTCATAGCAGAAATGAGGATCCATAGTCTAAATTATGAATCTGGAAAGAAAAAAAATTATAAAAACATGAAGGGAAATAGTAATACTGTATATTGTAATGTCAAGACTGAAACAAAGGGTTTGGAAGGTTGCTGTGAAGAATAAACAAAGTAGGGCCAGGCTATTAAGATCTGGACTATCAAAATAGCAAGCTAAAACTTGCCTTTACAGGTATTGGACACTCACAGACATTATTTAACCTCCCTGGAAATATTTAATACTAGAGAAATTTCTGAACCTGCATCAGATAATGCTAAACTTTTTCAAAAAACGATTATTAATCCTAAGTTAAGTATTCTGATGCTTTAACTTTGATGATCTAGAGAGGTTGCCTTTCCCATCGTTAACCAATAACCAGAGCTGGTAAACAACTTCCACCTGAGCTCACTAATCAATTGCAAAGCCGCCAATCTCTGGCCACAAACCTACAATCCACCTTCTTTCTGGGCTTAATATTTTGGGCTGCTATCCACTTGTCCTAGTCACTCCAAGGATAAGTTCCAGATAACTAGATTCTATGTGCCAGGGTCCTCTGGAATAATCCAAAATAGACAATATTAAGCACTTACCTGTCTCCCCTGTTCTTTCCTCTGAAAATC